TCACCACAAGTAATCACAGCACAGGAACTGACACAAGTCATGTCAGTCTTGAGAGGTGACTATCCGAGAAGGGTTCCAGGGCACCCTTGGCCAGAGTCACAGGAGAGCACTCTGCCACAGGAGGGATCTCTGCCACTTTCCCCGTTTGCAAATGGCGAGACACCTTGGCCAGGCTGTCAGTTGTTGAGTGAGGGCAGGATCTGACCAGTCAAGGACTGACTGGGCCTGCTTTTCACTAGCTGTCCATGGGCTCAGCCATCCCCTCCTTCCCCTGTGTGAACACTTTTCCTGTTGGTGGCGAGCATTGCAAGCATACTGTCCACTTTTCCACAGAAGCCTGTTCTCTCAGCTTCAGTTGGCTCCACAGTGATTATTCTGTGTAATCTTGATTGAGCAGAGACCCTCTTTTATCCACGTGCCCTCACACGGATTTTCAAAGAAATTCCATAAGCTCTTTGATGTTTTGAACCATTGTGGCTTGTGACCCATGAGCCATGGAGTGTGAGCCTGTGTGCAGGACTCAGTCCATCTTCACCCTAATTGCCCTTCTGCATCTCCATCACTACTTCAAAAGCCTTTCCCTCAGAAAAGTGGTATTGCACCTTCATGCCAAAGGAAGGGTTAGAGGGCTCCTGGCCACTACCCACCTCCTAGAGGCCGCTGTTTGCCCAAGGAGAATCCATATTTCTCTTTCACCATCTGCTCTGCACCCGGTTGCTGAAGCCAAAGCCAAAGCCAAATACTGGCCCCAAGGAGGATGTCACTGAAATTGTCATTTGGTCAAAGGCAGTTGCCCACTGTTTGCCACTTGGGTTTTATCCAATTTGCTCTGCTTAGGGGATGCCGAAGTCCTGCCCGCCCATTATATCTTCTGGATCCTTATACAGTGCCAGGGTGCAAGGTTACAGGGCCAGAAATGTTGTCCCTTGCTCGCTCCACTGTGGGAAAAGCCAGGACCTAGGATTTGAGGACTGATTAGGGTGTGCAGGGTGGTTAAGTTTCTCTAATAGGGAAGACACACCTGTCTTGGAAGGAATACTCTTTCCACATGTACACCTACCTCTCCAAGGATGCCTGCCTATACACCAACAATAAGTCAGAATAAAGGGGCTTTGACTGCTAATTCCCAAAGTGCATATTCACCTCGTTTTCTCACACCTCCTGACCCTTCCGTGACATGATCATTTTCACTATGACCCTGGGATTTGGTGGAGTCTGAAAGCATAAGACTTTCCCAAGGCTGGGTGAAGAAGCCACAGGTGTCCTGCTGGTGGTGCCTGTTCTTGTAACACAGCAGTGTGGGCTTCCAACTTGGCTGGCCCTCTGTTCAGGTGCTAGTCTGTCACTACCCAGCCATGTGACCCCACCATCTTGCTTGAGAGATCTGGCCTAGAGTTTCTGCCTTGGTTTCCTGTGCCTGGTGACAGGCATGTTGCTGTGCGGTGAATAAGTTAGAGATGCTGCATGTAGACAGCCATGCAAGTGTCTGGCATCATTGAGGCTCTCAGCAAATGCCAGCTGCTACTGTCCCTAGCCTTGGAAAGGTTTGTGCTTTCTCTCTCTCTGAGTTCCCTGAACAACTGGAGTGTTCTAGGACCCAGCAACCAGCTTCACAGTCATCCCTGCCACTAAAACTGCAGCTCTCCCACTCACTTCAGGGAAACTCTGCTGGGTTGAGGCCAGTTTAGTTTTCAGATTCCCAGAGCAAAAGACGCACAGCTTGGTGCCCTATGTGCACACAGTTCAAAACCCAGGGATTTCGTTCAACATCAGGATGTATATTCTCTTTGGCTTCTCTTGCTCACCACCTTCCAGAAGCCCCTTTGTCTGCCCCTCCCTCAGACCTGTCATTCATTTCTCAGCCAACCGGAAATCCCGCCCTCCTCTGCTGTTTACCTAATCAAAAGCTGTTTAACTCTTTGTAGTGCTAATGCAGTGTGCTGGGAAGACTGAACCAACTGGCAACTGGGGAATGAGCCTGGTGCTTTGAAGGCCTCCTCCCGGGGCTAGGGCAGATCACTCATCCTTTGTTTCCCAATCCCCTATGGAGCGTCCTGCCTGAGGCCTTTGGGATATCTATTTACTTGTTATTTATTTATCCACCTATTCATCCATTCACTTTTTTGGTGATTGAACCCAGGGGCACTTTACTACTGAGCTACATCCCCAGCCCCCCCCCCCCTTTTTCATTTTGAGGTAAGGCCTGGCTAAATTTTAGCTCAGGCTGGTCTGGAACTTGTGATCCTCTTGTCTCTGCCTGGGATTACAGGTGTGGCCACTGGGCCAGGCATCATCTCTCCATTACTGTGTAGCTGGAGTATACCCTCCCAGTCTTTCTCCCCTTAACTGTGGTACTGCTGGTCCTCTGCTTTAAGCTTCTTGGCCCACACTTGCCAATGACCTTTACTTGGCATTTGGACATTTATTCCCACCAGGGCCTAAGAATGCACAGATTCAGACAGGTTTGGGGAGGACATCATGTCTTTCTCTGAGCTAGCTCGTGGTTTCTGTACAATGGGAGGTGATCATACTGACCTGCTAGGAATAATACATGGCATGCCTCTGGCATAGAAGAGGTGCTCAACACATCTCTGCTCTCCAGGTTCTCCTACTTCCTAGCTGACTTTCCTGGAGCTAAGTGACCTCTGTGCATCCCCTCTGTAAAATGGGGAGAAGTTTAATTGAGTCTTCCCCACCCTCAAAGGACTGGAGACTGCAGCCCAAAACTTCCTATTCTTTCATTCTGAGTTTTTTTTTTTTGGGGGGGGGCTTTCTATTTCTTTATTTTAGGACAGACCCCTTTTAAGTGCACTGGCAGGCAGAAGCAGAAAGCAGGATGACCTACAGGAAAGCCCTCTGGAATTTCAGAGAACAGACTTGGGGTCTTGTCTAGGATCTGAGGTTTGCAGCCTCTCTGTCATTAAGTAGGAACCTGTACCTCAGATTCCCAGCTTGTGTATCTCTGGGGATGCATTGGCAAACTTGGCTCTCTCAGAGCGGGAAACATGCCTTTTCATTTTCTGTGCCCAGTTTCTCTCACACTGCTGAAAACACAGAAGGCTCGCACTAGTTTCTTGCTTGCTGGATGAATTTGGAGCTGCTGAGGGTTCAAAGCTACTGCCTTTGTTTGAAGTCTCATGGTTCCAAAGGCTCATAACTCTGGGTCCCTGAGCCTTTACCCTGCACCCAGTGACTTGAGTTGGCACTCAGCTGGAAGCAGGGCAAGACTGCAGGTTGCCTGGCTACTCTGTTTTAAGACCACTGCTATGCTGAGACCCACAAGCCTAGGTTAGGCACCTGACACCCATGCTCTCTATTGGGGAACTTAGTTCACACACTGTCTAGTTCTTGGTGATAAAAGTTGTAAGCTCTGGAGGTGGTCAGAATTTCCTGGAGTGTTCTCTGCCTGTTGCTAGTGAGAATGGTCAAAGTGATTCCCACAAGCCCAGATTTGGTGTAGGGTGAGGCTGAGGATTCAGAAGCCCCTGTGGTGGAATGGATAAGAGCTTTGAGCTCCTTGAGCTCACCAGGTGAGAGTGCAAAATCTCCTGGGGGTGTGAAGATACCCCATCCCTCTTGACTTAGTACACCATGGGCTATCCTGACATGGTGTCACTTGGAAATGCTAATTCTACCTTACCCCTTGGAGAGATGTGCTTGAGCACTCATACACACACACACACACACACACACACACATTCTAAACAATGTGGGCACCACACCAAACTGTAGTACCTGAGAGAAATTTAAGTTTACCTTTAAGAGATGCTACAGGTTTTCCTCTAAAATCCGAGTAACTCTGCTGTTTTAGAGCTTTTCTCCACATTATTCCAGGTTCATCCTTTTTGTTAGTCATTTTATTATCATTAGTTTAAATTCAGCCATAATAGCTACCCTTTGAGGCTCTGGTCATTCTCCCCTCTTCCTTTGCCTCATTTCTTATTCTCTGGTTTTCCCTTGACAGACTCTTAACAGTTCAGTGTAAACCTTGTCATTCTTCCAATGTCCCTGCTGCTTCAGTTCCTGTATAGTTACGCTCTCCCATCTCTAGTATTACTTTCACTAATCAGATTGTCATCTTATAAAGAATTTTCTTACAGTCCCTTCATTTTTATTTTTGTAGCATATGGTTGTCTGTTTTTTCCCCTGCAACCACCCCTTCACTCTTTCCCCTCTTTTCATATAATTTAAGCATAGTATAATGTCCTCTTTTCCATCCTATTACTAAGGAGTGTTCTCATAATGTTCCATATTTTTTGGCACTTCATTCTGAGTCTCTATGATAGTACTTACCATACTTCCAGTTCACATATTTTTCTTTCATGTTATCTGGGCCCCGAGTGCTAAGAGTTATCCACAGAACTTATTCCTCACACAACAGATAGGTGGTCAGTAAATTAACATAGTTTACTGGTTAATAGGCTTTTATTTTTCTCTGTAATCTGTGGTAATTAACACATGGAAAACTAAATCATGGAAAATTTCAACCTTACAATAAACACAAAGAATACAGAAGGATATACATAAATGTGTTTGTTTTGTTGTCATTGTTTTCCTTATTTAGGATACATCTATTTTACTTGTAAATCCATTCAAATATTTATAGATCCGTCATTTTAAGTACTATATATTTAATTCATATCAGTATATGATGAAAATTTCTCATTTTTTAAAGCAGTTACAACACTTATGGCATATCTCTACAACAATAGGAAAACCAATCTTTAAAACTTATGAACACTTAATACTATGATCCATTACAAAAATTACAAAAATCTAATTGACATATACTGTGAACTTCAAACAAGAGGCAAAACTTAGCAATATTCAAATAATACCTAAATCCTAAAGTTACTCACACAATCCCAAATACTAATGCCATACACTGTTTTTTTTTTCCTTCTCTCCTTTTCTCTTCAAAATTGTTAATACCCATTGATCTGATGTTCTTACTTCTGATTGCTCTTTGTCACCAAGTGATCATTATAACTTATCCTTTACTAGCTGCAGGACTTGTTGCTGGTATTAGCACTGGAAGTGCCAGCAAAATTGGTATTGGAACTTGCACAAACACCTGCAGGTATTTGAACTCTGGCATGGGCTTGGACTCGGACATCAGTCAGTGCTTTGGTTTTCATCCTGGCTCTGGCCTCCTCCTGTTTCACAGCTTCGCTATATTGTGATGGCCAATCCCTGGGGTCTCTGTTATAAACTTTGGCTACAAATTGTAAAATTTCCATTTTGCTGTTTTCCCGGTTGGCTTTAGGTCCCCAGAAGAATGCATATTCCAGTGGACTACCATTGTTCACTGGCTTATATTCCAGGTACCCACGCTGTACAAACTCTTGGGTGATTACCTTCTTTAAGTTCCCAAATATTCTGTACTTCTTTTTCAGCTGCACCCCTAACTTTTGCAGAACCTCCCAAATGAGGCTTTCTGTAGCACAGGTGCCCACCATGAAAATGATGCCTAACATCACAGTTAGGAGACCTTTTTTGAAACTTTTCTCACGTTTGATAGTGCTTGGGGATCTTGAGTTTTTCTGGGTCTTCAACATACCCCAAGCCTTTGAGATTCTTTGTTTCTGAGAGATGTTTGAGGCCTCTGAGTAGCTAAGGATCTCTGAAGAGCTGGGTTCCTTTGAGATTCCAGGGGCCTCTGGAGTACTGGGAGACTCAGATGCAATCAGAGAATTTAAGGTGCTGGGGGATCTGAAGGTGCTTGGATCCTTCAAGGTACTCCAGGCCTTTAACATGCTAGAGGCCTCTGAGGTGCTTAGGGTCTTTAAAGTGGTGGAGGTCTCATGCATGCTTGGAGGTTTCAAGGTGGTAAGGGCCTTTGTGGCAGCCGGGACCTCTGAGATGTCTAGGGTCTTTGAGGCACTCACCGTCTCTGTGGTGCTTGGAACACTCAAGGTGCTCAGAGCCTTCAAGGTACTTGGGACCTCAGAAGTGCTGGGGGCCTTAGAGGTGCTTTGAGCCTCAGAGATTCTGGGGTCCTTTAAAGTACTGGAGGTCTCCATGATGTTGGAAGCCTTTAAGTTTCTTGGGGCCTCATACCTGTTCATAGATGTCGATGTATTGGGATCCTCATAGATCCTTGGGCCATTAGAAACTCTTGGGGCCATCAAGGTATTGAGATCATTTGAAGCCATCTCAACTTTCAAGGCTCTTGGAATTTCAGAGATGCCTGTAATCTCTGAGGTACTAGGGACACTTGATATATTTAGATGATTAGAAGTACTTTGGTCCCTTGAAGTGCTAAAGCCTGTGTTTGGACCACTGGAATTGCTCGGGGCCTCCCAGTTGCTTGGGTCTTGTGAGGTGTTTGAGGTCTCCAAAGTACTCAGGTCCCAGGAAGGACCTGGAGTCTCTGACATACCCAACCCTTGTGATACACTTGGAATCTCAGAGATACTGGGTCTCCTAGGAGTACTCTGGCCATGAGAAATGCTCCAGTCATGAGAATTATTCCAGCCATGAGAGCTGCTGCAGCCTTGGAAGTTGCCACGACCCCTTGAAGGACTTGGGCCCCAGGAAGTGCCTGGGACCCACATGGTGTTATGAGTCTCAGATGGGCTCTGGACCCGTGGATTACCACGGCCTCTGGGAGCATTAGGGCCTCGCCAAGTGCTTGCACCTCTCCAGGTACTTGGGCCCCTCCAGTTGTTTGGGGCCTGCCAGGTGCTGGGGCCTCTCCAAGGGCTCCAGATCTCTGATGGGTTAGGGCCCCTCCAGGTACTCAGGCCTCGCCGAATGCTCACACCTAGTGAGGCACTGGGATCTTGCCAGGTGCTGGGGTCCTGCCAGGTGGTTGGGTCTAGCCAAGAGGTTGGGGTCCCCCAAGTATTTGGTCTCTGCCAAGCTGTGGGACCCCTCCAGACGGTTGGGCCCCTCCAGGAGGTGCTCAATCCTTGTGAAGAACTCAGTCTCCACAACATGTTAGGATTCCATCCTGTGCCTCTCAAGTTGTTGGGGCAAAATGAATAAGGACTAAGGGTCTCCATGTTGTTTGACATCCCCAAGGTGCTTGGGCCAAGGGAGGCCCTGAAGGTCCTGGAAGCCCCTGGGCCTTGTGAAGACATCAGGCCCTGTATATGGCTGTAGGCACCTCAATTCTCTCCCACAGTGTATGAGTTTCGATGAGGCCCACTATTTTGTCCTTGCAGCTTGTTTCCAAGCCCCGTTGGGAATGGGGGATGGAATTCACGCAGGCAAGTCAAGAGATCTGTGCATACAGATCACACCAGACTGGAAAGCAGGAGGGAATAGTTTCTGAGTAGCCTCAGAAACTTACCGCTTCAGCTGATACGGCTCCCACTGCTGTCACCGCGGCTTCTATCATTAAGGTACCTACTTTCTCTACAGCAACCTCCGCCCCCTACCTTCCCTACCTCTGCCTTCGCCGATGTGGCCGTCGCCGCTGCTGTCGCCTCTACAGCTGCTGACAATGCTGTTCCTGCCACGGGCAACAAAAATGTCACCGTTAGCCGCTATATGGTTAACTCCCACGCAGCAGCTTCCAGCCTAACCGCGCCCGCCTCTGGCCCTCCGGACTTCCTTCCCAGAATCCTCCAGTCAGAGAGCTCCCCTTGGATGGCTTCGCCCCGCCCCACTTCCAGCACGTCCGCTGACTCCTGCACCGGAAGTGAGGTGGTCTGCATTGCCAGTTTCCGTGGGCTGGCGGAGTGAATGGGAGGCGGGCATCTGAGAGTGGGAGTGGGGGTGGGGAAAAGGAATTGGGGAGGGGGAGGAGGAGAAAGGGGGAAAGGAATGAAGATCATTCTTTATATTCTATAATTATTACCACTGGGGTCTTGGGAAAGAGTGAGTCTCTATGCCCAACGGAGGCCGGCAGGAAGTGGGGGGCGGGGAATGGAAGGCGTGCGGGACAGAGGTGGGGGTGTATTCTTGGAAGGAATCCGTTGACCTCAGCCCTCCTTTCCTGTTCTGTCCTACGCAGCGCATTCACTCACTTTCCCTGTTTTCAGAAAGCATTTATACTATACGTATCTAATTAATTCTTAGGCTCATCTAGGACCTGGATAATGTTATGGCCAAAGTGCTGGGCGATGAGAGGACATAGGAGTGCAAAGCCAGTAGTGTGAAAAAGGTGCAGAGCCTTTGCAGTGTTCTGCGTTCTCAGGGGTTACTAAACAGGGCAGTAAGAGGATCAGACCTCCATTTGTGCAGCCTCAAGGAGGGGCAACCTATCTCCTGGCAGACCACATAGGAAGCAATTAAAATAAGATGCAAGAGGCTTTAAAGTGAGCCTTGAAGCTGTTGCTATGGGGATGGAGACAGGCATTTTGAGGGTGACCACTGAAAGGCTTAGGAGGCTGGAAGGAAATGGAGAATGGGGTGGAGGCAGGGGAGTGCAGGTTGGCTCCAAGGTTTCCAGGCTCCAGTCTCCCTGAGTACCTCATTTATTTTGCTTCTTTCAGAGCATACTCTGAACTTTGCTCACTTGTTTTCTCTGCCTAAATCACCTTCTCTCTCTTCTCCAACTATCTGAATTCCATCTGCCTGCTCAGAGGCGTCTTTCTCCCTGAAGCTTATCTTGGTTGGTCCAAAAGGGCATTGAGCCAGTTTTTACTGCCCTGAGGCAGGCCCTAGAGCTAGCATTTTGATTTTTTTTTTCTCATGTCATTGCAAGTATTAGCTTGCTCAAGTCACTTTACTTCTCTGAGGCTGTTTTCTCACCTGAAAGATGGAGGTAAAGTACTGGCTTCATAGGATTGTATGAATGAAATGAGATAGTAAATGAAAAGCCTTTTTCACATAGCAGGCACAGACATAGCAGGCCTCTCAAGGTGTTGAAGCAGTGTTGAGAATGTGGTACTTAATAAATGCATGTTGAAGGAATACATGATGGAAAAGTTCTTACATGTGTTCTTAACTGAACTCTTAAAAGGCAAGTGAATGGTTTTTACCTGTTTGGCTGGAAGGGATTAAATGCTTGCTCAACAGAGGCTCAGTTTGTAGTCTCACTTGGGGAAGCCCTGTCTAGCCTATATATAGTCTTTGATATTTCTTGGCCTTCATTGGAGTTTGTGAAATAGAATATGGCTGCATCTGGTGAATGAATTCTATGGTAGGGCAATGTGTATCGCTGGGAAAGCAGAATTGGCAGCCAAATTGTACCCAGGGAAGTCCAGACATCTGCACTTGTGTAGAAAGCGGGTGCCTCCTGTGGAGAAACAGGCATTGAATTCAGACCTAGGAACATGAGTTTTGACCCATTCTAAATCACTTACATGTACTTTAACCTTGATAAGTTCACTAATATCCCTTCCTTTGATTTTTCTCTGTAGAAATAGAAAAGTCTGATCTCTCTAGCCTTATCTTCCCATCTTTTTTTTTTTTAATTTCTCTCTGGAGATACTTTAAATGAAGTGTCTTGCAGTCATGATCTATAGGTGGAAGGGATTCTCATCTTGAGAAACAGGCGAAATGTTATAGGTTCATGTAGGGTAAATCAGAAGACAAACTCCAACAATGAATTTAATATTATGATCTCTTACAAGTGTTTTGCAATGGGCTGGTGCTGTTCTAATTCAATAAATTTTCAGGAAAGAACAGATTCAATAAAGAAATGGCCTTCCAGCTAAGGCTAGTGACTCATTGTGGTTGGGATGGGGAATGATGGGCAAGGAAAGCCGTGTGGGGAAGGATCAGTGTTAAATACTTGGGATCTTCCTAAACATGGCAGTCATTTCTTCCCATTGACTTGGATCCCTGCTTCATAGACGAACTGAACAATATAGCCAAGCCCCAAACCTGAGAGGGCCTGATTTTTTTACATGTCCATGTATCCTCCACACCTCTAGTAGTGCTCTTGATTCCACTGCATTCTACAGTGCCTTTTGGATTAAGGGTTAATGACAAACAGCTAAGGGGTACTCACTGACTCTCTGATATATATTGGCCTATGTTAACAACAAGGCTATGGAGGCTTCAATTGAAGAGGAGACAGAGATTCTGGAGGACATTGTAAGTCTTCTACTTCAGTTTGAACAGTAATTGAGTAAAAAACTCTCAGTGTTTAGTCCCTCATGTCTGCAACTTCCCAGGTGAAAAACCCAGTGGGTTGTGGGGAAATAATTCTGTATTTTCATTCAATAATTATATGGATGAGGCAGAACATGGTGTCCTTTGAGCCCTACTCTTTTGTTTCCTTGTGTTCTCTCCTAACTTATCATTTTCATATCTGGAAAGGTTGTTGATAAGAGATTTTTCCATGTGTTGGAAGAAGTCCAGTAAAGAGGAAGGATAAGATCCTAGCCTGACACAAGGGGAAGTGGCCATGTCCACTCAGGAAACTAGCATGGAGGGGTGTGGTCAACAAATGATTGATAAACAGCATATACTGTTTGTACTCAAATACCCAGACAGTGGCATACTACAGGCTCCACTTGATTCAGGCTGAACTTTGTCTTTTATAATGAGTGAGAACAGAATATGATGGGCATAGAAGTCTTCTAGGAGTCAAATAGCACACACCAACCACTCTGGTTCTCCTCTCCATTTTTTTTTTTTTAAGTTTGAAGTTATATGTGCCTAGAGTACTGAAAATTATCTTTTTTTTGGTTCTAATTAGTTATATGTGACAGTAGAATGCATTTTGACACATCATACATAAATGGAATATAACTTCTCATACTTCTGGTTGTCCATGATATAGAATCACACTGGTCATATAATCATATATACACAGAGGATAATAATGTATATTATTGTAATGAATAATAATAATTCTTTAAAATTTCTTCTCAACTATGGTAGGATTTTATGGGAATTCAGTGTTATAAGCTCATTCTCTAACTGAATTTTTCTTTGTAACCAGAACCTATAAGACCTCCTTTTGGGTAAGCCTACCAGTTTGTGGCAGTGAAGCAAGTACTTCTTCAGGGCATAGAGCACTCTTGCATCAGCTCCCCATTTACCACAACCTTTGCACTCATTGTGAGTTTACTTAGATTACTGGAAAAAGTGAGTCTAGCCCCATCTACTGTACCTAGTTTGGGGACTTCTCACATTTCTAATCCATTGATGATTCTTATGAATTGTTTTGCAATGCAGGTATTGACTTTTTTTTTTTTTTACAATTTCCAAAATTTGGGGGCTTTCAAGGAAGTTTATAGTGTGTGCATTC